GAGGAAGGGAGAAAGGGTGCTTGGGCACAGAGAAGAATGAAGAGCGGCCCAAATGTCTGGATTACATAGGGAGCTGGAGACAGAGGGATGCTGGGAGGAGCTGGAGGCCAGCTCTGCTTTGATATATATGATACACACCTCAGCCCTTTGTCTTGGGCGTGAAACCAAACATCGCCTGCTTGCTTTCTTTGTCTTGTATATGGTAGAGAAATAGTAATGGTACACTTGTCAGACTAGGACATTTTATAAAGTACTTACTGTCCACTTTGAAGAGTTCATCAGTCCTCTCACTGGAAATGTTAGTAATTGCCTGGTGTTTCCCAGTGCATTAGGCTGGCTGCGTGGGACAGATATCTGACAGTAAGTTTGCTGCTTGTGGGACTGCAGACAGAGACAGACTACTCTGCCTTACTGTGTTTGGAAGCGCCTTTCATTGAAATTAAAATGTGGCTTTCTCTCTGAATTACATTGAATTAATTTCTGTGGCAACTTTATTTCTAATTTCCAACCTTTTCTGCTTCAGAAGTCTTTGACTTAAGCCAGGCTATGGCACACACCTGCACTCTCACCTACTCTGGAGGCTGAAGCAGGATTGTTGTGATGCCTTCCACACCGTATTCTGGATCACAGGCTCTCTTTTGTCCCCTCTCTACCACTGTCCCTCCTTCCCTGGCACCATCCATCTTCTCAGGTGCCCTGTCTGACCTCTGGCCTCTGTCTCCCTGCTGCTTACCAACCCCCCTGGACAGCTGGTAAGCTGCCATCTCCAAGCCTGGGCTTGCTCTGCCTCTGCACACGGCTCCCACTGCAGGTTGCTAAGACCAAAGGCCTCGATGTCCCACTGGAGCCTCCTTGAAGCCCTCAGTTCCGTTATTGAAAGCCTCGGTCATTCCATCTTCAGAACAGTTCTGCCCCTGCTCCCTACTTCCTCTGCGTCTGCCTGGGACTTTACACAAGCTAGAGCAATGTGGCTCAACCTGGCACTGTTCCCCAAGGTCTCTTCTCCACACAAATGTCCCTTCTGATAAGCCCAGTGCCCATATGGATCTTTCTGTACAGTGACAGAGGAGTCTTTGGAATGAGACGAGCTCCTTCCTTCCCATGGATCTCAGTGCACCTCCTGCCCCCGCTCTAGCCTACTCTGACCCAGCTGCTTCGGGCACAGGAAGCCTCCAGCTGATGGCCTTAGAGCTGGCTTTCTCTTTACTCTGCTTTTTACTCTTTACTCTTTACTTTGCTTGTCCACGATGGCTCCATATCTGACTTCATGTCGCTGAGGTCTTGCCTTCAATCTCATCTTTGTGACACTTACCCTGACACCACCTCTACCTTCTCCCTTACAGCCCTCCTTTCTGTCACGTTCTACCGTGCCCCTTGGGGTGCACTAACTTCTTGCCAATCTGCCTTCACCCTCTTATGTGAAACCCCCAAGGGTTGAGCCCACCATGGCTACTCAGTAAGCATTTGTCTGGGTGGCTGAATGACTGAATGAAGGGTTGCATACAGATGGACATACCCTCCGACCTGAGCCTGTCCCGTCAGTTAGAGTAGAACTACTCATGCACTGTGCAGCGGGGCTGCCTTAGCTAAAGACTCCTCAGTGTCCGTGGGATAGACACTGGAGATGCAGTGAAAAAGCCCTGCTGTTCTCTCCCTCTGAGAGCCTAGAGTGGAGGGGTGGGACTTGTTCACTTGGGCTTATGACTGTTTTAATAACCGTGATACACATCAGTCCGAAATGTACAGGATTTATTACCGTCTACATCTTACAGACACTAATACTAAGAAAATACTCAAGGGGACTGGAGAGGTAGCTTGATGGGTAGGAGCATGTCCTGATGTGGCAGTGGGCCTGAGTTTGGTTCCCAGCACCCACATCAGGTCCACAACTGCCTGTGACACTGCCTCAAGGGGTCAGATGCCCTCCTCTGGCCCTCTCATACGTATACCCTCACACAGACAGGCACAGATAGCTACAGTGAAAATAAACATTAAAAAATACTCAGCTGGCTGGCGATGGCACACGCCTTTGATCCCAGCGCTCAGGATGCAGAGAGACAAGCCGATCTCTGAGTTCCAGGAAAGTCAGAGCTACACAGAGAAACCCTGTCTCAAAGAACTTAAAAAAAAAAAAATCCTCAAGCATATCTCCCCAAACCCAAGAGCTAAAACATAATTTCAGGCTTTAAAGCAGATCTTTCTCAGGCTTGGGCGTTCACATCTATAATCTCATAATATGATCCCAGAACTTTGAGGTACAGTAAAGTCAGTAGTTCGAGACCAGCCTGGGCATTGTAGCAAGGCACCAGCCCCCACCACTGCCCCCCGCCCCCGAAAGAAAAAACCTCTAAAACCTATTGAAAAATATTTTTAAAGCCAGGCCAGCAGGGTTTAACATGAAGCCCGTAGGTGTGCATGTACTTGTGTGTGAGGAAAACATGGTATTTTGTTAAGGTGTTTGTTATGACGTCAGCTGAGTTCTGTGTTGGAGGTGGGATTCTTTCGGGCTTGGGGTTAGACTAGGTGAGACGTCTGTGCTTCTCTCGTTTGCTCCATAGAACAAGCTGCCTTTTTCACTGGCATGTTTGCTTTCCTGTGGGTACAGCAGCCCATGACAGCAAAAAGAGCACCTGACTTTGTCTTGCTGCTGAAAGCGCTATTGCTGTCCAGCTACGGGAAGCTCCTGCTAATCCCGGCCGTCATCTGGGAGCACGACTACACACCTTTGTGTCTCAGGCTCATTAAAGTGTTTGTCCTGACGTCGAATTTCCAGGCAATCAGAGGTGAGTGTGTGCCTTCTTACTTGGCATGTCAGCCTCCAGCCTTCGGGAAGCATCAGACTTGGTGACCGGGACCCCTCCACAGAGGTCCATGTTGGTCTGCGTGTATCGGTGGTGCCCAACAAGCACGCACTTAGGATCACTCAGTTGGGCCTACGGAGCCGTAAGTTCAGAGCTCATGGCCCTCGGCCTCTCTCCTGTAGGTGAGGCAGCACCTTCTCTCAGCAGAGCTCTATGAATGGCTTGTCCAGAGTTACGAGACTGGAGTATCTGCCTGCCAGATGAGTCTTGGGTTTTTAGGCACTGTGAGAAACATTGCTGAGAAGGAAGCCGCTGCCTGACCTTCTTGTTGGGCTCTTCCTGAACTGTGATGCCAGTCTCCTTAAACCTTCAAGCTGGTGGTAGAGGTTGTTCTGAGACAGTCTCCCTATGTAGCCCAGGCTGCCCTTAAACTCATGGCAGTCTTCCTGTATGAAGTTGCCAAGAGCTGGAGGTTACAGGCAGGAGCCACCACACCCAGCTCTGTCTTCTCTATTTCGTGGGCTTCTGCCTCTTTGCTTGAGAAGAGCTTGCTGCTATATTAGAGCAGAAACTTTGGTCAGCACGGTGTAGACTCTAGAGCAGGGTGGCTTTCCTCAGATCAGTTCTTAGGGCGGTTCCCAGGTCTCAGCACCATGCAGCTCCCAGGCCTGCCACGTCCCGAGAGTTCTAGTATAGTTGCTGCTTTGTTTTCTAGTGACCCTGAACACCAACCGGAGGCTCTCCCTGTTGGCTGTGCTGAGCGGCTTGCTGCTGGAGAGCGTCGTGGTCTTCTTCTTCCAGAGGATGGAGTGGGACGTGGGCAGCGACTGTGCCGTCTACAAGTCTCAGGAAGTCTGAAGGTACTGCAGTCCTGTCATCTGCCCATGCCATAAAGCACCACCGACAGACCAAGGGAGTGATCCCACCCACGACTAGTTCCGTGGTTGGGAGGACTGTCACACATGGCACCCACCTGGTCAGCTGTCCCACCAAGGAAGGTCTGTCTCCTCAGCATCTGTTAACTGCCTGTTCATCCTGGGGCGATAGGCCTTGTGACCTCTCCCCCATGCTGAGTGTCAGCAGGCCTAGCTCCTCACGGGTGGTCACAGCTGCCGAGAGTTGGGCGCTGTGGCCTTGTCATGCTGGAGGTCAGCGCTCCAGGAGCACCCATCACGCAGTGTGACTGGGCTGCCGCTGTCTGAGGCCTCTCCCCTTGCAGCCCTCTCCATCAGGCTACTGTCTTCAGGAGGATGGGGTGCTGGGCTCCCTGTTCCCTCACTTGTCTCCATTGCTGCTTCCCACCGGTCCTCACTGTCTAACCCTCTGTGGCCCTTGCTGCGCTACAGGATCTGACTCCATCTGTCCATCCATGGCTGCTGCTCAGTCTACTTCCCCCTCCCCCCCTTGTCACCCAGTCTCTTCCCCTCCAGACTCCCTCCACTTCTCAGCCACACACAGACTCCGAAGAAAGCTCCAGGGTGGTTCTCTTTCAGGCCTTTGTAATACGCTTCCTGCCTTCCACCGTCTGTGTCTACACAAGGTTCATTTCTTGAGTAGGAGCTCTCTGTGGGTCATGTGATCTCAGCAGGACTCAGTGGCTCTGAGAACACTTCTGTCTGAGGTCCTGAAACACGCCCCCATGCTTCTCAGCCACACGGCCTCCCTGTGCCCAGAGCACAGTGCTGCAGGTTCCTACAGTTTGTTCTTTGTCTGTCATTCATGGTGTTCCTTCCTTCTCTTCTGCCGTGTGCTCCCTCCTGACCTTCCCTCTCTGACCCGTGGGCCCTCCCTCCTAGGAAGCAGGATCCTAGGTTGAAGAAATGCAGGAAGACTCATAGCAGGAGAGGGAGGCACACTCATTCCTTCTTCAGTCTGTCACCTGGATGTGGAGCTCTGCTCTCCTCACACACCCTATGGTGCAGCCCCTTTTCCTGCTGTGCTTTGAGCCGACCCAGCTTCCTTCCTCTTGGGTCTTTGGAGGTGCGGCTGCTGGGCCTGACCTCCCTCCTCCGTGCACATGTGTAGCTCTTCATTCTGGGCCTTCTGTCTGTGCTGCTGCTTTCCTGCCTCCCCGTTGTGAACCTCCCTTGCCATGCCTTAGGTCCGCAGTGCTAAACTTCACAAAGCTGCTGCAGCTAGGAGCCTTCTGGTCTGTTTCTGTCAAAAAAAAATTCAAGCTGGTGCTGGAATTCTAGCCCCACCCCCTTTCCACGCAGATCCTTCTCCTGGCCAGTGGCTGGGTCCTGTCCCCTGCCTGACACTTGGTGAATGCAGGAGTATGGCCCTCCATCCGATATGCCTACACTGCAGCTGCTACTGGTTCTCTTCTATAGAACGCCGCCATGTTCACTCCTGAGGAGGGCATCTCTCCACACTCCACCCTGGCGCTCCTACCCAGTTGGCACCTCACAGCATCTGCCTTCCAGATTCCTACCGAAGGCCACCCAGGGCTGTGCTCCCTCTGTGCTTCTGTGTAATTCATAGGCAGGAAGATGAACTCAGGAGTCGTTAGAACCCACTACAGAGCCAGAGGCCTGCTGCCCTGTCATGTGCTTCGTTCTGTCTTCTTAAAATTACACTGGGGAGAGACCCTGCCTCGGGCTCCTCTGTGTCCTCCATGGCTCCCAGCCAGCCTTGGAGCAGGGCTTCTGTGGTGAGCAGAAGAGCCCTACAAAGTCTTGCTCTGTGTCTACAGCTTTATTCTTCACTCTCTGTGGCGGGATCAGCTACCTCAAAAGAGAAGGCACAAGAGAACCCAGGACTCGGCTTTCTGTGAGTGAAGCCAAGACTGGAGGTTTCTGAACGTACCCAGATAGCCCCAGGAAGAGCTCAACCATCTATAAGTAAGGCTGAGCGCACCCGGGCAGGCGCGCACCCGGGCAGGCACCGTGGTCTCAGCTCAGTACTTTATGTCCTTTAAGTCTAAATACTGCACTGTGGCTTTAAACCTGTGTGAAAACCTTTTGTGTTTTTCTGACAAAAGCACTTTTAAGTCATCTTTCAGAATAAATCAAGATTTTTATAAATTTCTGGCTCAGTGACTAAGATTATCTTTTGAATCTCTCAGCCAGAAATAACCAAGGTAAGTATCGTAGTCATCTCTGTAACGGCGTGATAAAACACCACAGCTAGGGTACTTCCTAAAAGAAAGGGTTTAACTTGGCTTGTGGTTTCAGAGGTTTGGAGCCCACGGTGGCGGAGCCCACGGTGGCAGAGAGAAGAGGCAGCTGAGAGCTCACACCGTGACCCCCAAGTGGGAGGCACAGTGAGCACCGGGAACCACAGGAGTGTCTGAGCCTCACAGCCCATCCCAGAGACACACCTCCTCCAACAAGACCACTCCCCTAATCCTTCCCAAACAGTTCCACCAACTGAGAACCAGGAATAGATGGGCCTAATGCATGGTGGCTCACTCCTTTAATCCCAGCACTCTGCAGGCAGAGGCAGAAGGATCTCTGTGTTCAAGACCAGCCTGGTCTACAGAGCTAGTTTTAGGACAGCCAGGGCTACACAGAGAAACCCTGTCTTGTAAAACCTATATGCATATATTTCTATGGGGGCCATTCTCATTCCAGCCACGAAAAATCATAAAATCCCTGAATGCTACAGCCTAGAGATGAATTATATCCAATATTATTATTATTATATAAACTGCTAGAGGTGGATGCAGCAGTAGCATCTACTTAACCCCGTGCCCATTTTAGACAAGGTTTCACTGTCTCATCCATACCAGACTTCCCAGTAACTCAGAGTGGCACTCAAAGAAGTTAAGCAAGACATCAGAGCCAGCTGTGGTGGTGCACAAAATCCCAGCTTCTCCAGGCAGAAGCCATCTGGGCAGCACAGTGAGGTCAAGGTCGGTCTGCTCAGCTTAGCAAAAACTAAAAGGCTGGGCGGTGTAACCAGACTCTACTGGGTTCTTCACTAACCACCCTTATTCAGTCTTACACCCTTTCCCCAACACTAGGTAGGATAGAACCTTAGAGGGGAAAGGGGGCATCGATGTCATTAGACTACTTCCTGCTGGTTAGGGACATCAGGTTCCCCGGGGCAAGTCTGATCTTCGTAGTCAGGATATCTCTAAGGAGCAAACAGCAAAGCAGGCTCTTAAACTATCTTCAGCGGACATAACCACACCCCTGTCAGCTGCTGTGAACAATCCAAAGCAGCCCCTATATCCCACACCTGGGATTAAAACACATAAAATTTTGTGCTTTTAAAGAAACCAAAATTCTCACAAGAGGGTTGTAGCTTACTGCTGGACTCTATCCTGCTGTGTGTGAGGTCCATTGGTCCAACCTGATAAACGGTGAGAGCAATCTCGGGATTGTCTTACATGAGTAAGAGTGAAAAATGGTTAGGTCCACCAGCTACCAGTGAGCAGAGGGGCTTTCCAAACCACGCAGACCCAGAGGCTGATCTGTGTGTCCGCTAACAGTCCCCAACAGTTTCCAGCCTTTTTAATGAAAACCTTGGAAGACAAATAATGTTGGAAAGCCCTAGTGAAATGCACAAAGCACACCTGTCACTGTTACACAATGCACTCCGACCTTTTGTTTGTGTGGTTGGTTTGTTGGCTGGTTGTGTGTGTGTGTGTGTGTGTGTGTGTGTGTGTGTATGTGTGTGTGTGTGTGTTTGCAGTCCTGGGTTGAGCGCAAGGACTTGCACATAGTTTATTAAAACAGACATTTGGTGAGACGGCTCAGAGAGTATAGCCCATGACGCAGAGACTGACCATCTGTGTTCGGTCCTCAAGACCCACATGTTGGAAGGAGAGAACCAGCTTCTGCAGGTTGTCCTCAAATACACGCACACACGCACACACACAGAGTATTAATTGGAAAAAAAGAAAAAAGAAATTTGGGGCTGGAGAGATGGCTCAGTGGTTAAGAGCACTGACTGCTCTTCTAAAGGTCCTGAGTTCAATTCCCAGCAATCACATGATGGCTCACAACCGTCTCTAATGGGATCCAATGCCCTCTTCTGGGTTGTCTGAAGACAGCTACGGTGTGCTCATATACATTATTTAAAAAAAAAAAGTTAAAAAAAGGAAATTTGCAGGTACTCCAGCTATGGTGGAAAACCTGCCTCATGACCACACTGATAAACAGGTTGAAGCCAGGTGTTGCACTCCCTGTAATCTCAGCACCCAGGAGGCAGGAGGATGGAATTTGAAGTCACCCTGGCCATACATAATGACCTTCTCAAAGGAAGAAACCTTCAGTGCTGACAGCTGACTGCCCGCTCTTGTTTTCAATGCGAGAGACCATGTTGCTTCTAAACAGTGCACCCCCAGTGAGAAGGGACGGATACTCTGTGTTATTAATATCTGAGCCCCTTGGGCCAAGCTGGGAGACAGCATCGTACACGGAAGCCAAGAAAGGATATTCGTAGATATTGGCAAGGTCAAGTTAATCAGAAAGCTTAACAAAGTTGAAACCACAAAGTGGCTAATGGGAGTGTTTAGGATCACTAAACAAGAGAAGTGACGAGTCTGAGTGCTACTCCTCGGTCTGAGGGACAGCCCCTGTGTATCTGTAGCCTAGTGGCAGGTCTCTGGAAGTCTGTACTTCTTGGTAGAGAAGACAATAGTTTATCACTCTTCAAATACACTGCAGGGAAGAGAGACCAGAAGTTTGTTAAGTAGAGCACTTGGATGGCTGGAACCAGATTTCAGTCTGAGTCTCTCTGAGGGAAGCATTGACGAAGGGAAGGGAACATCCCTGGGACCTCACAGTGGTAGCAGTCTGGGTGCTACCTACCCACAGCCCTCCTTATAAAGTGAGAAAGCTACTTCGAAGAGAAGTCCTAGCTTAAAGCTAAATTACTGGCTTCTGAAATATCACCAGAGAAGGAGTGCCAAAGCCAGAGCCTTGGGTATGAAATAGGATCGGACGTACCTACCCCCATGTCCTATCGGGTGTGGCTCTCGTGATAAGCTGTCAGAGAAAGCATGGAAGTGCCTAGTAGTCTACCCCAGGTCCCTGCAGCTAGGAGGCTTAGGAAATGTGTTCAGTCCTGCACAGGGAAGGCAAGCAGGGAGCCTGAAGGTGGGTTTGTGTGTGCCCCAGGCTGTGCGTCCCTACACACTGCTGAAGGGACAGCTGCTGTGCACACCCCCTGGCCTGTCACTGGCCAGCATCACCATAGTCTCTGTCCAATCAAGTATCCCTCTCTCCTTGTGAGGACCACCAGTGACATTACCTACCTAGCTAAACCATAGCTCCAGTTTGAGGTCACAATTCCACTCTACAAGGTCCTCTCAAGGTCACGACTTGGCTCTACAAGGCCCTCTCCACACAGACTTCAGATTACAAGCTCCTGAGGCTCTCTACCTTTAGACAACTTTGGGGAGCTGTGCCCCACTCACCAGGGCATCAGTGCTCACTGCCAAAGGGAGTAGGGCTCTCGCCTGTGGGAGTAAGGCCAATGCATGAAGCTAAGACCTCAACACTGAGCCTCGCGGCCAGCTCTGAGGCCAGCGGTGAGGGATGTACTCCATTCTGACCAAGGGTTGGATGGATACAAGTCTTAAAATCTCCACATCTGGGCAGCTGAGGCAGGAGGACTTCCATGAGTCTAAGGCTAGCCAGGGTTACAAGTGAGTGAGACCTTGCTCAAAATCCTGAACAAGAAAACAAGTAAAAAGATTTCCATTGTCACCTGTTCCCCTTACTTCCCAGGAGTCGCCCCATGAGGACACACTTGGCAGGAAACAGGCAAGCAACTGCTCCGCAGCCTGCTCTCTGGCTTTGCTTGGAGTCGAGGTCAGAGCTGCCTGGAGTATCCTGAAACAAGCAGGATCGCTTGTCTCCCCCACTGCGGCTGTTTTCCAAAGTCTGGTTTTATTTAATCTGCCCAGCCTTTGTCCTGACGTGTGAACCCACCCACTTAAAAAAAAAAAAGTGCACTAAAAAGCCATTTCACTGTGTCATGTGAATTTTTTATTAGGCAGCTATTGAGGGAATAAAGGTGTTATAGATAGTACCAGACGGATAGAGAAGTGCGTGGTGGGACATGCCCTTACCGACCTGTACCTCCCTCTGCAAGTACTCTCGCCCCTCCGGCAGTAGGTTGCATCACTGAATAATGATAGGCAGATTTGGGGGGCCGGAGAGATGGCGCAATGGTTAAGAACATTGGCTGTTCTTCAAGAGGACCCGGGTAAGTCCCAGCACCCACATGGCAGCTCACAACCGTCTGTAACTCCAGGGATCTGATAACCCCAGGGATCTGGTAACCCGCACACAAACATACTTGCAGGTAAACACCTATGCACATAAAGGTTAAAAAGAAATCCAGATTTGGGGTGAGGCACTTCCGGAGCTCTCCCCAGAGGTCCCCCAAGTGAGCTTAATGCAGTCAGAGCTAAGAGCAGCAGCCCCAGGGTTTATCTCAGTGAAGCAAGACAGCCTCGAAGCAGGCCCCTTCGGCTGACTAGATTTCCTGCTTTCTCTTTCTTGTCCCGTCGGAACCATCCTGTCACCGACTGGTGACAAGGCACTGACCCCCTTCCCTTTGAGTTCTGAGCAGCGTACCTCTCCACTGTCTGACCTAGTTCCTTATAGCACAGACGTGGTAATGCTCGCGCTGTCGTGTAACTGAACGCTGCCTGTCCTAGTTTGCTGTGATAAAACACTGACCAAAAACAGCCTGGAGGAGGAAAGCGTTTATCTCTTCTTACACCATCCATTCCATCATCAGGGGAAGCAAGGACCCTGGCAGATGGCTGTCCACTGGTTAGATCCCTCTGGCTTAATCGGTTATCTTTCTCTCACTGTTCAGGACCACCTACCCAGGGGTAGCACTGCTCACAGTAGGCTGGGCCCTCCCACACCAATCATCAATCAAGAAGCACCCCAGATATGCTGACAGGTCAGTCTGATGGAGGCAGTTCCTCATGCCAATGGGTCAGTCTGATGGAGGCAGTTCCTCAACTGACTAAGTGACCAACTAATACCCTTCCCCGAGAGTCATCCGCCCCTCCCCATAAAACCATCCCAGTTCTGTGGAGTGCTGTCCCAGCTGTATCTGGTCTCCTGGCCTTGGAGGTGAGCGAGTTCAGAGAGTGTGAGAGGTTAGTTTCAGGGGTGGTGGGGGTGGGTTGAGGATCTTCATCAGCCATCCTGAAGCTTTCTGATGACACGGCTGTTTGGGGGTCACTCGTACTCCAGTAGGTAGCATGAATAAGCTTATTGGTTTGCCAGGTTGAACTTTTGGGTAATTGCCCTGTCTGGGTGAGTACATGGGTGAGTCTGGGTGAGTCTGTCCCCAGGAAAAGGTCATGACAGTTGTAATCGCTAAGTTGTAGTTCCAGTGTCTGGCCTCCAGAGGGCACTGGTGAGCAGACAACTCACTAAAAGAGGAGCAACATGGCGTGTTCCAAGACACAGGGTGAAATCTTGCTGTAAATGTGGTCTGCTACCAATGAAATGACTGTCCAACCTCACCCGAGAAGTAAATGTCTTAAAATTCATTTAATGGCCAAAATATTTTTTTAAAAAAAAGTGTGAACTCAGAATAAAATTTTTGGTTTGTTTTAGAAAGGATAGCCAAAAAAAAAAAAAAAAAGAAAGAAAGAAAGAAAGAAAGAAAGAAAGAAAGAAAGAAAGAAAGAAAGAAAGAAAGAAGAAAGGATAGCCCAGGATAGCCCTGAATTCTCTGCGTAGCCAAGGATGACCTGGGATTATAGGCGTGCACCACCATGCCCAGTTCACGTGATATGCTAGAGACCTGGTGGAACCATGGAACCACATCCCCAGACTTCCAAACAAAATGACACATGTCAAGAGACAGTTGAGCATTTTACACGTTTAACCCACAGAGGGTGAAGTTCTCATAAAGTGTTTTAATAAATACATTAAGGCTTTGGGTAAGTACTGCTTAATACTAGTTTGTCCCAGGATTTGTTTCCCCTACATTCAATGTATATTCATGTATTTTTTTTCCTCTCCACCTATACCTGGTGTCAATTTCGGTAGTTGCAGAAAAGCAGTTGACCAGCGTGTCAGAATATTTCCTCCTTCTAGAAAACTCTCAGGAAGTCCCCTGGAAAATCAGTGATGCAGCTTTCAAATAAATGAGCCAAGAGGACTAACAGCTAAGTAACAGCAAGAAGAGATGCAGACTGCCCTGCGGGTTCCAGGCAGGCAAATGCTGCTCTTCATATTCCACACGCCAGAGTGGCATTCCTCACCCAAAGAGGGTGCAACACACCTGCCACCTACAAAGACGCCTGCTGAGAGCAACCTCACCCAAACGCCGTGAAGGCTTTCCACACAGAACCCTTCTGTCAGAGCTTCCAGCAGGTGCTACTCACAGTGTCCAGGATATTCTAACATGCCTCTAGGTCACCCATAAGACCCTGCAGCCAACTAAGCAGGCCGTCCCCCATGTCAGTGAACTCCATACCCACAAGTTAAACAAGTGGTGCGTGTCACCATTTGTCCTCAGACTGTCCACCATGAAGAGGCTGAAGTACTTTCTTGGAAGAAGAGAAACAGATGCTGCCAGTCTGTGTTAGACCCCTCCAGAGTCACTAGATGGACTCCAGAATCCAGTCACTGCTGGAGAGGTGGGTAAGGGGTAATGACGGGTCCTTAGGAGAGCCTCGGTGCTGCCCGTCTTGGAGAGAGCCCTGCTCCTGGAAGTCCTCCTCCTCATCAAAGAAGCCATTCTCCAGTGCATAGGTGCAATCCAGGCTGGAGGCTGCCTGGCACGCCCCCTTGTACTCCTGAATGGACTCGTAGAGGCTGTACAGTTGGCAGAGCAAGGACATGTCCAGCTGTCGGAGGCCGACCTTGAGGGGAAGGAGGGGAGGTAAGAAACCAAGTCAGTGCTGGAATTTCATCTCAGCTGAGCACCCAACCAGAGTTCCACCTGGGCTCGTTCGTACATTCCTTCCCTCAGAAAGGCTTCTTGAGGCAATGTCAGTGGGGTGCTCTGGAGTTCCAGGTAGCCACATACTTCCACTGTGTCATTCAATACCTCACACATGAGTGGGTGAGTCCACACCTGCAGGGTGGAGAGCCCAGCCTGAATTTGTTCTGGTGCTTCACAGACACACCCAGTGACACACGGCAGTGCATGGTCTGGGCGTCTCAGCTGGATTCATTGTGGATCCCAAGTCCCAAAGACAGTGATGCTCCCCACGTCCAGACTCAGAGACAACCCCCCCCCCCCCCACCGTAACCCTGGCAAGATCCACATTCTGTCATTCTAGGTGGCAGATTACCCCTGGCCAGAGACAGGATCTCACAGTGTGACAAGCTTCCTCGCTGTAGCAACCTCATCTTCCCCCCTCCCCGGGGATTATCCGGGCATGGCAGAGTTCAGATGCTCTCTCTTCTCTAGACAGGCCTCGTGTGGTGTGGTCCCTCCCTGAGACAATGAAACTGATAATGGAGCTTCACACCCCCTTCTGGAACAGTCACAAAAGCCAGGGCCAGGGACAAGGACCATGCATGAGGAAATGCTGTACATTTGCTGTCCATCTTTACCTTCTTCCCTCGCTCCCTCCCTACTGCCCACCCTACTTATTTTGTTGTGGTAATTATTTAAAACCGGCCTCTGGTCAAGCCCACTATCTAAGCTGCAGCGGCTCTGCCTAGCCCAGCCGCCATGTTTCTCGGCCTGAGGCCACTTGCGCGCTGCAGCTAGAACCAGCCCTCCAGAAACACCACCCCTGCCACCCACTAGATGCCAGCGTGAGAGATGGCTCTGCCAATCTTCCACGCTGTCTCCACAAGGCAGGGCATTGCCCAGACCATTCCGCCATCCATGCGGGCCCAGTAAGAGAATGAGACTCTAATTCATATAGATTAACCAAAGGCTTTATATGTTTGATTATGATTAATAACAAGAAACAGCCAGGTCTAGAAAAGCATGGGTCCCATCAATCCCAAAGGAAGAGACAAAACACAGAATCACAGGGGAGCCTGCACCCCCGAACTTTTAACAGTCACACTGAGAGCTTGAGAAAGCACCGCCTGCTTCCCGAACAGTATGGTCAGGCGAGATGAAAGCTACCACCAAAGCGGCCCAGGGAAAGAAAAAGACCCCAGTAGGCCCAGACCTTGGGGTGCTAACCTGAGGCTCTAGGCGGCAGCTCACCAATGCTATCTATGGGATTTCAATCAGAGGCAAACTTACTACACAGTCCCAACCTCTCAGCGTCCATCCGGCAGGCAGAGTCCTTCGCACTGGGTGTGACCACCCCACATACAGAGAGACCTAATGTCCCACTTTCCTAACCATGCCTTATGGCCTAAGAGAGGCAGACAGTCAGTGCAGACATGGTGGAGTACAGCTGACAACCCAGTACCTGGGAAGCTGAGGCGGGAGGACTGTGAGTGTGAGGCCAGCCTGAGCTACACAGCGATAGCATCAGAATACAGAACAGCGTGTAGGCTGTTTTCATTAGGATGTTCCGATCAAATCTGTTCCCTGCACAGCTCTGTGTTCCCAGACTCTGTTGCAGATGTGAACACAACCTCCACAGCCTGAGATTCTAAGCAATTCCTATGCACCTTCCTGTTCCCAGGTTCAACTTCAGTAAAACAACACCATCCAAGACTCATACCTATGTTTGCTTAAAATGTCTAAACATATGCTCCTGTCCTGTCACTGTTTCACCTTTGGGTGAAAGACAACACTCTGCTTCTCCTGTCAAGAACAGACCACAGAAAGACCAAAGTAGTGTGAGCAGATGCTAACATTCACCCTCTGGGGTCTCATGGGTTGGCCCACGGTAAGACAAAGGCCAAAGCTCCATAGTTCTTAAACTGTTGGATGTCAAGGTTGTGACCCCATGCCACCCAGGACTCACCGTGCCAGGTTTTTCAGAGCGAAGTCTTCCTGGATACTCAGGAATATGCCCAGCACAAGGATGACTCACAGAGCTGCCCAGTCATTGCATGTGACACGTGTGACACTGGCCTAGAAACAACTGACCCTCTTAGAGACACAGCATGGTCCTGACATACCTGTTACATGGCTGAACACATGCCCAGTACATGGGCGGATTTCACCTAAGTACAGCAGTGCATGATCACACCGGCCTCAGCTCCTGGGCGCAACTGTTGCAGGCACCAGACTAACTCCCTCCCACTAGGCAGAGTTTCACTGAACTGCAAGAGGTGAGTGGTACTGACCCCACTAGGCAGAGTTTCCCTGAGGTGAGGGGTACTGACAGGTAGCCTTCAGCATGGCTGCTTCCAGATGACTGAGTGAACACATAGATCTATCCTTGTCCTGCTGTGCGGTCATCTCAAGAGTGGGAACCCTAGCTTCAGGTAGCCCAGAGGCCATGGCTGGACAGGCAGTGCTGTGTGCTCACAGCACACCCACATGGCTCTTGCCAAGTCACCAGAACCTGTATGCTTGAGGGCAGCACAGTAGGCCAGCCGATGTCCTTGAGGGGAACACAGGCCACCCCAGGCTCCTCTAGAAGGCCATTTGCTAAGGGGTCTGGAGAGAAACAAGGAGGGGTATATGCCCTCGGATTGAACTATAGGACATAATGAATTCACCCAAGAGCAAGAACAGCTTGCTTGCCCTTCTAGGAAAAAAGTGTTAAGGATCTGCCCCCATCTCTAAATCACCTGCCACCTGCCATCTCTTGACTCACCCACATGTCCCTGAGGGACACCTCTGCTCTTCCCAGCTACAGCAGGCTTCAGAACTGACAGCTTCCTTCTGGGGGCCATTGTGAAACCTTGAGTCTCATTTCAACCAGTCGGTCACCTCAGCCCCGTGGTTTCCCGCCCTTTATTGTGACTTACAAGACTACAATACAGGGCTAGCTCAGTCCCTGCGTGCTGCTTGTCCTTCCTGCCTCTGCTCAAGCCACCTGCTTCCTCTCTGACATTCTCCCCCATCTTCCTTGAGCTCTTCATTCTCACTGTCCTGCAGCGAGGAGGACCCTGCGACCCTGCATGCTCTTCCCTCCAGAATCTGCTTCCGTTCCCCAGGTTTGTTTAACAATAGGCTCCGTTGCAGGAATAGTCTCAGAAATAGTCTCAGACAGATGGTGGCTCCCTGCTGGGTCAAGGGTCACTAAAGTCCCAGAGACTCATTGAGGTTATGGTGGGGGATGGTCTCATCACTAGGTATGGGGTTTAGAGAACTAGAAGCTTTTCTTTCTTTAAACATGCTCTCATGTAGCCCAGGCTGGCCTCAACTCACTTTGTAACAGAGGATGACCTTGAACTCCTGTTTTTGCTTCTCAAGTGCTGCAGGACCAGGTGCTCACCTCCACCCTCTGCAGAGGTGACCCTTCAAAAGGAACGAACCTCTTAGGAGCTAAGGAGATGCTTGCCCTGCAAGCAAGATGACCTCAGTCAAATCATACATGTATAAAAGCCACTCATAGCCAGGCATGGTGCTGCACAGTTTTAATTCCAGCACTCAGGAGGCTGAGGCAGGTGGATATCTATAAGTTCAAGGCCAGCCTGGTCTACATAGTGAATTCCAAGACAGCCAAAGCTACATAGTAAGACCCTGTCTCAAAAAAACAAAACAAAACAAAAAAAACAAAAAACAACAACAACAAAAAAACATAACAGACAAACAGCCAGGTGGAGGCTGGAGAGACGGACCAGCAGTTAATAGCACTCGCTGCTCTCACAGAAAACCAGAGTTTGCTTCGCAGCACCCACAGTTGTGAGTGGCTGGTCACAGCTGCCCACAACTCCAGCTTCAATCACACCCCAACCCCAGGCCTCAAACCTGAGGAAAGAGTAAAGCAGACATGAGCCTGGAAGGAGATCCTCGTATCGAGCCACGAGAGCTCTGTCACGGCCTCAGCCTGGATGATCCCAGATCCGCAGAGCCATAAGAGCAGGCGAGCACTCGGAGACCTGACAGAAACCCACCATGATTTCCCCGAACTCTGTAAAACACCATTGTGGAGTTTTTTAAGGAAATGAAATTACAGGGCCAAAGGGCAGGTGCAGACTCAATTTCATGTGTATTGTGAAAGTCTCCTCCAAAACCAAGGGACAGGCCTCTCTGCCTGCCAGGCGGGAGGGGGTCCCACGGTTCTCCTCCTGTGAAGTCTCTGCTAATCTTTTAGGTACAGCACAATCAGTTTTATATCTGCAGTTACAAAGGTGTTGCGCCCTGCCGTTTGGGGTTTATTTACTTTTATCATTAGTAGTATTTCCTTGTGTTTGTTGGAGGCTGGAGCCTCACTGTGTGTCTCAGTCTAGCCTCGAACTCGCAGCGATACTTAGGCCTCAACATCCAGGGTGATGGGATTACAGGTTTCGACACCAGGCCTGGCTTAATGGTGTCACAACATGGATATCTCGTTTCTAGTTTTTCCTATTTCGTTTTGTTCTTGTTGTTGTTGTTGTTGTTGTTGTTGTTTTTTGAGACAGGGTTTCTCTATGTAGCCCTGGTTGTCCTGGAGCTGTAGACCAGGCTGGTCTCAAACTCAGAGAGCTTCTTGCCTCTGCCTCCCTACTGCTGGGACTAAAGCCATCACCACCACACCCAGCCACTTCTTGTTCTAAGTATAACCAGGGAGTCTTAAGGAACATTTGCGTATGTGTTTTCTACCAATAAACTTAAGAAACCAGACACCCACATACCCCTCTTTCCACACCTTCTCTTCGGGGGTTCTTCAGTCTCCTTCCGTCCACCTGCTTCTGATCAGATGACCTTGTACCATGGAGCTTTGGCCACAGGGTAGAACTCTGCAGCTCTCACCAAGGACACCACTTCCTACTCTTGTACAAAACTCAGAATATACAGGCCTGCAAGACCAGGCAGCTTGCCGCTCCTGGAGCCAAAGAA